AGTTTGTGTTATAAGTGAACTATTAGCTCTAATATATATATGTATTATCATACAACCGGAATACAATGAACATATGAAAGTTTCCGAAAATGCATTATTACCGGCACTTGTTACGGAACGATTCAGTTATTATCATCGAATTTCAACTTTCTTAGACAAACTTCGTCCTGAACGGTATTCGTTTAATTTTTCTCTCTCTTTTTTTTGATATTAAATTATTTTATTTAATTCTACTTTTTTACATTATTTGTAAAATTTTATTTAATCATTTATTTCATTATAATATTATAAATAATAATAATTGTTTAATTGTTAATTATAAGAAGTTTTTTTTTTTTATGTTTTCTTTTTTTTCTCATATGCTGATTAAAAATGTTTTTGATTAAGTTTTTAATTGTTGATATTATCGCTTAATGGAATTTATGTTGAAAATTTTTAAGTTGGGGATAAGAATTTAATAGAATTTTCTTTTTTTTTCCCTTTTTACAGTAATATTTCCGATTATATTGAAAAACAACTTTTGGCTTATGGTATAATGACGCAAACAATGCGATTTACAGTAACTCTTCCAGGCTTTGTATGTTTTTTTTCTTCGCTTTATTTTTAAAAAATTGTTATTATTTGATAGTAATTTGAAGATGGATAACCTAGTTGGAGTAAATTATGAGTTAAATTGAATAGACGAGTTTTTTTTTTTTTTTTCATTTTTAATTGTTACAATTAAAACGTATTTAGGGACGCAATAGTAACATATCATAGAGTCTGTTATTGTTTAAACCTTATTTTTCATTACTTAATTTGACTTTAAAAAAATATAGTTTGAAAGTTTTGAAAAATTTGATCTGAACAAGTTACAATTTATTTTTGTGTTCTGCGTTATTAAAAGAAAATATTTTCACTTTCATAATTTTTTATACTTGAAGTTTTCTGTATGGATTAGCCGTTCTATATATCTATGAAATGAATAATAAACTTTTTGTTTGTTTTTAAATTAAAATTGCTTTTTTTTTTCTTGCTATTATTAACATTTCACTATTTCAGAATGAATCCGGAAAGAATGTTATAGGCGTTGTTCGTGCTAGCCGTTCATCATCAACGGAAGCAATAGTTGTAGCTGTGTCAATGACTGAAACAAATTTGGAAGCATTAGCTGTTATATTAGCTTTGGCAACTTATTGTCGAGGTGTTTTCTGTTTTTTTTTTTCTTTCTGTTATCTTTATAAATTAGAATAGTTTTTTTTTTTTTTTTTTTTTTATTATTAATTTTGATAATGGTAAAATGAAGTGAAAATTTTATTTGTTTAAAGATTGGATGTTTGAAATCTGCATAAATTTATATTTGATATTTTTACTTAAAATGCATTTTTCTTTTTTTCAGAGCAAATATATTGGGCTCGTGATATTCAGTTTATTTTTGTTGATAAAGGCTTAATTGGTTTAACAGCATATTTAGTTCAGTATCATCAGCATCATCATTCATTCTTGCAATCTGACAAATTAAATTTTCATAGCGGTGCGATTGTTGGTGCTTTTGCAGTGAAAGCTGATGGTTTATTGTTTGATACAGTAAATATTGAGCATAATATGATTAATGGTTTATTACCAAATTTGGATTTAATTAATTTAATGGCAAAATTAGCTGATAAATATGGTGTAATTCCGGAAGTTTTCAATCATGGTTATCAGGTATCATGGTGGAATTTAGCTGAAACAACAAGTAAAGCTATGCTTAGTCAGGTTCTATCCTCAAATTTGTTTTAATTACATTTATTTTAAATTACATTTAATTGAATTTCATAATTGTTTATGAATATTTTTTATCACCCATCTTTACTTTAAATTGCTATAATTTTAATGCGAAAGACTAAATTAATTTTCAAAATAAATCAAATATTTTAAAAAAGGGAAAAAAAGCATATCTGTTGACAGTTAAATATTTCAAAAGTTTAAACTTTTTAGCTTAAACTACTTATGGTTTAAAATTGAATTTAAAGCATTTAAAAATTTTTCCAGGCTTTCAATGAGAAAGAAGGATTGCATAGTATTTTTGGACCATATGGTATACAAGCAGTAACTATACATGTTAAAAGTGTTATGGAAGGACATGCATCATTAACAGATTTAGGTCGAATATGTGAAGGAGCATTAAGGTTTATCTTTTAATTTTCAATTTATTTTATCTTTTTTATTATTGTAATAATTTCGAAAGATTAATACTTTCAAAGTAAATGAATATTAAATATTAAAATAAAAAAAAAAAAAACATTTATGATCAAATAGTGATCGTACTATAAATTTATAGTTATTTTAATAGTATTAATAGTACTTATAATATTATAAAGTTAAATTTTCATAAAAATTTTCTCATAAAAAAATCATCGTTTTAGTACGTTGTATCTTTAACCAGTTTTAAAAATATATTCATTTTTATAATTATTTTCTGAAAATGTTAATTTTTTGCTCGTATTGAATAACTTTATTATTTATAATTATTATTCAAACATGTTTTAGTTAGGTAATTAGCCGGTATAACTAATTAGATTTTAATTACATTATTGCTGTTTAAATTGCCAATTAAACTTAATTTTTTCTTTTTAAAATTTTGAATTTTTGCAGATCACTGAATAATATCCTAGAGAAATTTCATCAGTCATATTTTCTTTATATAATGACGGATATACGACATTTTCTTTCTGTTGCTTATTATATGCCAGCTCTTGGTCTTATCCTATTTCCACTATTAATCCTGGTAAGCTTATTGTATTTTGTTAACATATTTGTTTGAGCTTATCAAATCCTACATTTATGACTGTTTTTATGGTTCATCATTAAGTTTTTTGAATAAATTTTTATAGAATATTATAAAATTAAAGTTATCTGAAATTTAGTGAAAACTAAAAATTATGATAGAGCATTTCAAACCTATATAATGGCTCTTTTTATGCACAATTTTTCTTTATAGTTTTTATGCTGCATTAATATGCTAATCCCATTTGCAAATGCTACTAATTAAATCAAAAAAAAAATTCTTTAAATACTTAGTGTTAAACCTAAACTTTAAGCTCCCCCTCCCACTTTTCAAATCTTAAGCTACTACCTTAATTATCACTATTTTAATTGATTAAATTTTTTTCAGGCACTTCGTGAATGGTTTCGTTTGAAAGAATTTACATTTCCAAATTCATTCGTTCTTCTTCATGTTATTGGAATAGTTCAATACTGTATCATTAGAAATATTGCTGTATCACAGTCTTATCATAACTATACAATTTTATTATCATTCTCCGCACTCATTCCGTGGTATTTTCTTTTTCCATTGTAAGTTTTTATTCGAAAAAATTTTTTAAATTTCAATTATATCATATGAAATATGATTTATATGAAAGAAGTATGCGATGAAATTCTAGCATTTAGTTCATTTTTTTGAGAATATTTAGTGAAAAAATGAACAGTTTTGATTGTTTTAATTATTTTGATTTTTCATATAATATGATAAATTAATTAATTAGTAAAAAATGTAGTAATTCTGAGTTCTGAGCAGTAGAAAATTTTTGTTTTATTCTTTTCATTCATTCAATTTGTTAATGTTTGAATTACAGAAGCGAGAAGGAATATATTTCATTAAAATTTCTCTTTTATTTGGATTACTGTCTTGTATTTGCCTCACTATCATTGCTGAATTTCTCACTGGCATATATTATTTCATTTATTGCCGTACCGTTGATAATATTATTCACAGCGATTAATAATTGTAATCGGTAAGTTAATAATTTTTAACAAAATTTAATACTTCATAAGTGATAGAAATGAATTTAAAAGTTTTTAATGATAGGAAAAAGAATGAATTTACGTAGATTTTATTGGTAAATCTAACAAGAGATAAGAAATAAGTAAAGAAAAATTATATTATTATTTTCATTAATTATATTATGAAAATAAAAAAATTTTTAATTGTTGATTATATTATAAAAATTATAAAAAAGTTATGTAATATACATAATTGGGCGCAGTATTCTTAAATTTCAAAAAAAAAAAAAAAAAAAAGAATCTTAGTCCAATCTAATATTCTAAAATTGCTCAGATAATCTAATACTAACATAAATCAGTTTTTTTTTTTTCAAGTTTATTTCTTTCTTCAAAAAAAAAGGATTTTTTTTCTCAAAAACATTTTGCAAAAATTGTCTTTAACTTTTGTCAAATTTAAATGATACAATAAATTTAAAGAAGAAAATATTTCTTTCAGATTAATTTGTCAATTAAAAGCTTTATTTGGTTTTCTATTACATCCATTTGTTATTTATTTATTGTATCGCTATTTGCTCTACAATATTCTTCCAACAGAAGCACATATAACAGATTTAGCAATGGATCTCATTAAATGCCATCTTTTATATGGCAGTTTTCTTTTTCCATTTATTTACATTTGTTTATTACCTTTATGGAATTTCTCAATTTTAATTTCATCAACACCTATAACTCATTCATAGTTATTCCTCTTTCATTTTCATTTTCTTTTTTCTACCAATTAATAACAATATGATTTGATGATAAAATTTATAACAAATCAATTTCTTAGTAGAATTTTTAAAAATTACTGTTTATTTTGAGAAATTATTCAATAACGCTTATTTCTTTAGTATATATTGTATAATGACAATAATATAATGATAATAAAATAATAATATAATAATAATAATTAATGATAATAATAAAAACTAAATATAGCTGTGAAAGAATCAAAATTAAATAATGATGTTTTAAAAATTAAAAGAATTTTTTTTCCTAAACACTTTCAAACATTAATTTAAAAATTGCTTAAATTATCACCGCCAATAATAATAATTTTAAAGGAAGATTTTATTTTTCATTTCTGTATTTTCATATTTGATTGTTTCTTTTGTTTAAAATTAGAATTAAAAAATTGTTTAGATTTAATCGTATTAAAACTGTTTTTTAAATCTTGTTAGTTTTGCTATTTTTTTTATCAGTGACATGATTACTCAATGATTATTATCAGTGAAATAAGTGTAATCAGTATGAGAGTTTGAAATAAAATTCAACAATGAACTAAATGGTACTCGACCACCGGTGATATCTAATTGTTGAAGAATATTATAAATTTCTTCTCGTGACATTTTCTCACCAACTGATGATAAAATACCAATGAATTCAGGCACCGTAATCCAGTTTTGTTTTTTCGAATCAATTCCTCGAAGTGCATCAATAATTTCTTTTATTGGATCACCTTTTTGATTTTCCTGATGTAAAATTTCCAAAAAACATGGAAAGTCTAGTTGTTGTCCTGAAATTTTAGTCATTTAAATTTAGAATGAATGCGTTTATTGTTTGTTAAAAGTATTGTCACAATGATTTAATTAAATTTTGAAAGCAAATAAAAGTGATTTTTAGTTTATGAGCGAAATTATTGATTTAGATAATATTATTATTTAAATTATTACCATATTTACGGAAATATTCTATTGTTTCCGGTGTAGTTGGAGTGTAACCAAGACTACGCATTATATAACGCAAATGTGATGCATTTTGTGCACATCCCTTAGGACAATATAATGTAAAACATTGCCGATATTCTGAAAATAAAATTAAATTTGAAATTTCTTAAATAGATCTGAAGTAATTATTGTATGTTCAACAGAAATTTCTACAGTGATTTTCTGTATTTGGTGTAACACTTATTTGATCATTAAATAATCATTATTTAATATTGGAATATATAATAATCATAACAATATTAGAATCTACTAATAATTAATTTTGCTAGTTGTTTCTCAAAAAAAAAAAAAAAATAATAATAACTTACCTTCGATTTGCTGTTGAGTGAAATAGTGAGCCTAAAATTAGGTTTTGATGAATATTTTTTGTTAATTTCATCCAAAGATCACTAGTTTTTTGATTGAAATACGTATTCCAATAATATTTAATCTTCTAAGTATTGATTTAAGCTATCTTTTAATTTATATAAGTTATACTTTGCATATAAGGCCAATAATTATAATTTGAGATTTTAAAAATTATTCTTACACTTATTCTACAAATCTTTTAATGTTATTTGTTTATAACTTTTGATTTAAAATAAAATACGATCACTTGCGAAAATGGTTAGTATAGCATTCCTTAAAATTTCACTAAAATTTGAATAATTATGACAGAAAAGAGAGAAAGAAAGATTATTTACCATTGATAAATTTTCATTCAACAAAGCACACCAACAATGTGTCACTTCAATAAGTGTCAACTATTGCTATGGTAGAAATTATGTCCCACTTTCATCAATAAAAATGATCATTGAAGGAGGAATGGTCGTTGTTGACCTTGTTAAGACAATCAATTGATCATTTATAGAAGACTGAGACAAATTCTTTATTGGTATATTATTGATCGAAATTACAAAATTGTTTTGTCTACAATAATTAAAACAATTGAGATATTGTGATTATAATGCATATCAGTGAATATCTTTTATCAGTGTAATTTAATAAATTTATTGAATGGTACTGAAGATTTGAAATTTATTTTCAAATAATGTTTAATTTCATGTAAAGAATCAATTAAGACGTTTGACATGTTAAAGTTTACATATGTGTTGTATGTTGTTATAAAATTTGATCACAAACGATGTATTGATACATCACTTCGTAAATTATCTGCATCTGTTAGTGTAACCTGAGCCTGAAATTAATATTTTTTAGTGCTATCTTAATCAAGAATTCATCAATGCTGCAAAGGATTGGTAAAAAAAAAAACTTCTTTGATGTGTCCATTCAAAAAATTATACGAAATTATTGACATTTAACTTACTTCAGTATCAGGTCGTTCCAATTTTTTGCGCCAATCTTCTTGGCCAAGACGTGTGGTTGATTCCATATAAACTGTAATTATTATTAGCTTAAATAGTATAACAAGTGTTGCATAATATAACTTTGGAATTTAGTTAATTCAAAAAAAAAAAAAAAAAAAAGGAATCTTTTACAGAAAGCATAAGTGGAAAATATACACAAAATACAAAATGAGTAAAATGAATAATCAACTGCTCACAAATAGAGTGCTGTACATAATCTTTTGCCAAATCTTTAGCTCGATCTTGACTAAATAAACTATCTTGAGCAAGATTTCGCCTTTTCTCAACCACTTCCTTCAGCATATCACTTTTTTTCTTCTCTGTTTCGATAATATTACTCATTCTTGCACTGAAATTTCAAATTACTACACAAATTCTTCTCTACATTAAAATTTTCTCATTAGAATTACACTAATTTCTTGCATGATTGAAATATATACACTACTACTATACAATATGTCATAGGAATCTAAGAAAGAAAAAAAGTTTCATCCTACATGCTGAAACTAATTTGATTGGATAGAACAATTTAAATAATTTCAAAATATACCTATTTCATTAAATAAAGCAATTACTATATGAACAAATCAAAAAATCAAAAAGATTACTTAATGCCTAAATCCACTTCTGGAATACCAGCAAGCATTTGATTGGATAGAAGTTCATCATTACGTTCACTTCGAAAAAGACGAACTTTTTCCGCTGCTTTCCACATAAGAGTATCTTCCATACTTGATACTTTGGACTATAATACTTTCATAAATTCATAAAATTAATTTTATCATGAAAAATAAACTCTATTATTTTGTGTTCCCTCTTTTTTTTTTTCAATGAAAACATTATTAATCTTTTATATGTGAGTTGTTTTTTTTTTTTATTCATTGTTACTTGCAAAAAAAAAAAAATTGATAAATAAAAAGCTACTGTTGTTGCGTCATTATCTTCCAAGTCTTGCACTGCTTTCCGCTTGCGCAATTCCGCTTGCACATATTTTTTCCTGCAACAAGTAGAACAAAAATAGATTTTAAAAAATGGAATAACAGAATGTTATATTTAATATGGAACAAGTGAATAATCTTAAATCATCAATATAAAATGCCATATAAGAAAATAGTAATACAAATTAAAAATTTAATAGATTTGAGAATGTGTTTTAGTAAAACTATAATGCTTTAAATAAAACTATGCAAAGTCTAAAAAAAAAAAAAAAAAAAAAAAAACAGTAAATGATGTTAATTGTAAAACAATGCAGTATAACTATATATGTAAAATAAAATTATATATAATTCCAACTAAGAATATGTAATAGATTTTTTTGACGATAATCATTTAATATAGGAAATTTTGGATAGAATACAGTTGCACTAACATTAATGAATGAATAATTATACTCAATTACTAGAAAACTCGAGCGATTATTAAATCAATCCTTACTAAAATTATAATACCATAGACAAAACATACATCTCTTCATGTTCATCTCTTAGAAAACTTTCTTTTTTAAATTGATCACGTATACCAGCTTCGATATCTGCTGCATGCCTACAAAATCAAATAAGCATATATGAGAGTACCTTAAAATTATTTATCACTTCTTCTAAATATTGCCAGTAGTTGCGAATTTTACTCAATTTTTTCTTAACTGTTACCATTTTAATAATAATTTTTTAAAAGCTCAAAGATTTTTATTTATTTTTTTTTTTTTGAAAAAAACATTGTAAAACGAACATTTGAGCTTGGCGTCCTTCAGATAATCGAAGCATACCACCGCCACGTTGTCTAAATGGATCATCATCCATTGCAATAAATTCCGCTGCAAGCTCTTTACCTAAAGCGCATTCTACTGCATTCAATCCATTTTTACGTACACGACTTTCTTGTAGTTCCTTCACACCTTCTAATTTACATCTAAATTTTATTTTAATCATAAAATAAATTATTTAATGTTTTCTAAAAAAAAAAAAAAAATTGAAAAATTAATACATTATTCATTCATTATTTATTCTTCTCAAAATACAGCTTATAATAATAATAATAATTTTCTACCAAGTATTACTCTCGACTAATTAATACTTTATTAATATTAATGATATTTTTATTATTGACTAAAGACATGAAAGGAAAGACTAAAGATTTAGAAATGAAATGAGTATTTTACGCAATTTCAGCTTCTTCCTCCATTGTGCTATCATCGTTATCGATTATACGTTCACGTAAATGACGTTGTTTTTTCTTGGTTGGTTTTTTAAACAAAGACATTCCAAATAATTCACGTTTCTTTCTTTTTTTCTAAAAAAAAAGCAAATCGAAATGAAATTTTTTCGGCTGAAAAAAAAAATTGATGTACTTATCAATACAATTCATAATTATTTAGATTGAATACAATTTTTGAAAAAAAAAAAAGAAAAACATAGTAAAAAACAAAAAACAATATAATTTAAATATAATAAAAATGAAACAGCAATCAGATATTTTATCCGATTAATACAAAGCTATAATATTTCATACAAATACATTGTATATTAATGTAATGTATTATTGAAATGAATAATCAATAATCGATGTTACAAATTACAATCTATAAATTTCGAATTAATTATTTTCCACTTTAGTCGGGCAACATTTATAGCTATGTCTAACGGATCACTCCACACTTTATAAATTAATTTCTGCTGTTTAATTTCCTAATAATTAATAATAAATCAGTTCTTAGGTGAACATTCAGTGCATTCCAGAGAGTTTTTTGAAAAATAAAATAGAATAAAAATGAGGAATCTATTATATATTCATCTTTAGTATATTTTCCACTGTATTTGAGAGAATTTTGTAAAATAAAATAAAATTGTAAGAATGAAGAAAAAACAAAAGGAAAAAGAAAATAAGAAAAGTGAATGAACTTTGTTGAATTTTAGCAACTTGCCTCTTTCTTTCCTTTAAAGCCATTTGAGAAAGAGCTAAGTTGCGATTTTCTTGTAATCATTCTAATCTGATTGGATTTAATTTCGATTTAGTTAATAGTAATTGTATGTTTTTTTATTAATTTATTTGCTATAGCGTAAAGTTGATACGTGTGTACTAATTAAGTACTGTTGACGTACGTCATTTGTTAAATTGTACTATACATAATTCTTTACATGTATCTTTATATATTTTACTTATACCTATTTAATCGTAGAATTTTTCATAGTTCAATTATTAATGAATTTTATTTTCTCATAGTAGTTATTTTAAATAGAATTGTTAGCATCATTTTTATGCTTTTTTTTTGCTAATAATTCTTAATTTGTTTTGTTATTGAGGAAAAAATGGCTTCATCATTGCTAGATCGAGATTTCTCACCACCAAGCTCATTTAAAGATGGAGGAGCAGGTGATCGATGGCGTATGAAAGGTGAAAATTCGGGTAGCGAACGTTGGAGATTAACTAATGATACTGAAAGTAACGTTACTGGTAGTGGTAGTGTTGGTGGTGGCGGTGGTGGTGGTGGTAATATCGGTAGTGAACGTTGGTCAAGACGTGAAATTGGCGCAGATCGAACAATGATTATTCAGCGTCATGGTAACAGTCGTGAACGTAGTCCACGAAGACTTCGTGATAGAGGTTAGTTTATGGATTTTGATGTAGAATTTTGAATTGAATTTATACAAATTTGTTCATTTAATTTTATTATTTGCATGCTATTGCTTCTTTCTTCTTTTCTTTTTTCTCCTCAGATTTGATTGCGAATATGCTATTTCATTAATGGAAAATCTGTGATTTCAAATATTAAAAAGCATTTCGAAAATTTCCTTCTCTCGAGATTTTCACTATGTTGCTATATCGTTAAGTAGCGATCATCATAAGTGTATGCCATATGAGTTATGTGCATGTCACGACTAGTTGTTTCATATTCGGATCGTCATCTTATCGTTTATATGATCATAGCGGCATAGATATAACATGGTTTTCATTATTTCACATTTGTCACGCCCCGTTTTTCAGTCGGCAATATCTTTTTTTTAAAGAACAAATTTTGAGTCTTATTTGATTGTTTAGAAAATCATCAACTTTGATTGATTTTCTTTGTTTTTTTTTTTCTTTTTGTTTTCTGGAATAGATCTTTGCGATCAATTGTTGTGAATACGATGATGTAGCTCCTTGATTCTGAAATTCTTTTTTTGTGTTCATAAGTCATATTGATTGCTTCGTCAAATTTGTTGATAGGTTGCTTTTTCATCCATTGAAATCTTAGACTACATTTTTCATTTCATACTAACTGTTTCACTCATATATCTGTGAGACAGTTGTGTTGGACATCTTCTGCATAAATTTAGATGGTCGTCGAAGCGGCGCCGGTGGCGTGCGTAATGACCGAATGGTTTACATTGCAAATATTCCGTACGACGTACGTTGGATGGAACTAAAAGATTTGGTTCGAGAAAAAGCTGGTGAGGTATGGTCTGTTTTCTAGCTTGACTTTGACTTTTCTAGATTTTCACATTATTTGCGGCTTTATCCAGCGAGATATTATTCTGATTATGATTATCAATGCATAAATATGGCTGGTGACATCGATGATTAAAAAAAAAATAGCAAAGTTGCATTCAAAGACTGCTGCTGTCGATGTTTTCTAGTTTTTGTACCTATGCAGTCATATGCAATTTTTCGGAACGTTGTAAGAGTGAAATTTTGAGAAGCTTTCTTGGGTTTTTGATTAGTTCCGAATTTACGTGAATATCCGTTTTCCTGATTTCGTTGGAAGATATCATCTGGTTAGATTTGTGCTTTTTCTTGTCGTGAAATATCGAGCGGATCAACTGAATATCTCCTGTTAAATACCAGGATAGTTTTAATTATTCAGTGTAGCACATTTCACTCGTTGATGATATAACCGTGCTAAGCGTGATAACAGATACGTGGTACCAATCCCTCAAGACATTCGTGAATCAGCTATCAATGCAAATTTAATTCACATGTAGAGATAGATTGTTGATGATTCTGGTGAATGAGTCAACACAATCCAATATGTCTTTTCGTCTTGTTTCAATCTTTCTAAAGGAAAAGGAAAGTGTCGCTCATTATTATAATATTATTATTCATTGGATTTATTAAACATTCTCAGAGTGCTAAATTATATTTGATTAAATAGTTACAGGTAAGATAAATCAAGACAATACAAGTGAAAGGAAAAAAAGACTAGCATTTGTGAAGTAGTAACAAATGCTACTTTGCTCATTTAGGTTAATTTTGTCGAGCTCCTAGAAGACCGTAAAGGGAAATCGAAAGGTGCAGCAGTTGTTGAGTTTCGAGAAAAAGAATCAGTTCAGCGTTGTGTTGATGCATTGCATCGTTATCCGATGAATGATCGTTTGCTTACAGCGAAGGAAATTCGAGTAAATAATTTATGATTCATATGCACTTTTTAATTCATCTGATTATTTCTCATCTTTCTTCTAAAATTTTAGTTTTATTAGTCGATAATGCTCATCAAATCATCTGTAAGTTATAATCTTGGCTGTTAATTTATGAGGATAGTATGTTTATATTTTCTTTTTAAATCTTTTTTGATCTGCTTTTTATTTCTAATCTTTCCTGGAAATATATTACGATATAGGATATGTGAATACCATAGTTGGTGATTCATTGGACTATTTCATCTTTTTAATTTGATTAGTAATCAATCATTTGATCAAACTTTAAGCTAGTATTATTGATCCATTTTTCCCGTTTGTTCACTATTGAGTTTTATCCTTGAGTGATGCCAAAAAATCGGATAATAATTAATAATTGTCTTGCATTTATTCACTCTATATTATTCAGCAGATTGTTGACTCCAAGTTACTCGTTTTTGAAATGGACATATGTTCAGGATCCTGTTGCGTTTTTCCGAAAAGTTAAGGAAGACACAGGTGTTGATTTTTTGAACGGTCTTCATGGTGGAACTGCTACAGCGAGTTTGGATACTCGTAATCGTCAAGAGGAGCAATTTGAAACGTATGGTCTTAGTCCGGCATTTCTGCGACAACTTCATATTACAGGACCATTGACCAATCGTGTTTTTGTGTCGAATGTTAGTTTCATTTGAAACGCTTCCCCTCATACATAATTCGGCGGCATATACTTTGAATCTCATCTTTCATCGTATGGTTCAAATTTTCGATATCATGTGTAACTTTATTTTATATTTTTAGTATTTTCAAAGAAATATTCAAATTTAGCTTCCGTACAACGTACAAAGTGGACGAGTGACAGATTATTTCTCATTGGCTGGTAAAGTTACTTGGGTTGATCTTCAATTAGATAAAGAAGGTCGCAGTAAGGGTATGGCTGTTGTACAGTTCACTCATCCAATTGAAGCAGTACAAGCTATTTCAATGTTGAACAATCAGCGTGTTTTTGATCGTCAAATTAATGTCAAAATGGATAAATTTGACCCAATTGATGATCGAAAAGAAGGAGAATTACCTGTTGGTTTACGTGGAGTTGGCATGGGTTTAGGTGCAAATGGTGCACCATTAGGTGATGTTTCTTCAATAATTTCGTCGCTTACCTCCTCAACAACATCTCATAATTCCTATGATAGCACATCAGCACCATATACCACTCAATCTGCTTATCAAGGTGGTCCTGTATCAAACCTTCAGCCAAGTAGCATTTCTTCGGTTATGCCATTTTCATCCACTTATACATCATCATCATCAGCATCTTTGTCAGCTCCCACTTCTGGTTATTCTACATTTGGTGGTGTCGGTGGTTTTAGTTCGCGTTCAATTATCATTAAAAATGTGAGTTCTGTCTTTTGCTAGATTTCAGCAAAGAAATTGATAGGTTTTGCTAAACTACTACTGATAAAACATTATATTGATATGATTCTTCTTCTGATTTATTGCATTGTAATTGAAGTATATCTGAAATAATACTATTATTATCAGTAATTTAGTAACACATCATACATTACTGCTTTTAGCTTCCCTTGGATTATACATGGCAAATTGTGCGTGATCGTGTTCAACAATTTGGTCCAGTAGATTTGACGGAAATGATTGCACCAGGTTGTGCTAAAGTTACATTTACTGTAGCCTCAGATGCGGAACGTGCTCGTAAATCTCTTCAAAATACTACAGTTGAAGGACGTGTTATTGGAGTGGAATTTTTGGCGTGAAGAAAGTGAAATGATTACTTTTATTGAATCAGTAATCTCATTTACGATATTTATTTCATCCGATCCATTTTCTTCATTTTTTCTTTTGTGCAAGTTTAGTCATTTGAATTCTGAAATT